TCCAATAAGTGGATCATATGATCGAAGAAAATATGGAAAACTGGAGGAAACATCCCGTTTGTTTTTTATTAAGGTTGCAGTCTGAAGCTGTTTTTATTTTTTTATTTTTAATGACTTTCCATTGAAACGGCTTTTTTATTTTGCAGAGGCTAAACCTTATTTATTTTATTTTTACCGGGTTACAGAGTGAAAACTTTTCCCTCACCTTCTCATGTGATGTGGACGGCTTTGTGGAAAAACTGCCATCTTACCTCAGCTTCTGATCTGACCTATGACCCCAAAACGTGTGACATAAAACAACAAGAGTGGCGGCTTACATGTTTGTGATCAGCTGGTTTCTGATTGGCTAAGCATCACATTTAACAGGTTTAATGTGTTAATGATGAAGTGAAAACCTCTAAACGAACCAGATCTGATCTTTTCTTTCTCTCATCTAAATCTTGCGGCCCGTCAGTTTTTGCCTCGTCTTTGTCACATTTCCTTCTCGCCTTCCAGCCTCTCAACCTCCTGCTGAGGATTTACAAGAGAAAATAAATGGCAACCGTTAATCATCACAGCTTATATTCACACAGAATGTGTCACATTTCTGTAATTTACATAAAACACTCAAATCCAGGATCAAAATGTGACATGAAAAGGTTGATATTCATGTTGTTTCTCTTTCTTTGGAGGTTTTATTGATATTTTTAGTCCCACGTCATAAAACCTGAACCTTAAAGCCTCCCTGCTTTCTCGTTGTTTGAACACTGAACCAGTTCAGTGATTTGCCTGCTCTCTGGGTCGGGTCGTCACGTTTCCTCGGCTCATTACAGCCGTTTCTGTTTGGGTTTCTGCTCGAGCGTCTAACCGCGACAGACGGCACATGGATGATGCAAGCGTCTCGGCTGCCGTGGAAACAAACGGAGCAGGCGAAGGAATCAGCGTTACAGATAATAATCATTACAGGCAAGAAGGAAAAGATGAATGGAAACGACTGAAGCTGTGAAGTTTTTAATAAACTGCAACAGTTAAGTGGAGTCTTTTACTTGTATCCAGAGGCCCAGAAAAATAAAACTGAAAACCCTTGAAGGACAGAAAATAAACATTTAGCGCAGTGTCTATAAACTACAAGGAAATTTCACTCATATTGAGACATTGTGCAGATTTATTTTATTTTACCACTTAAACCGCACATTAAAATATGTAAATAATCCAGCAGCAGCATAAAACAGAGAAGTTAGCTACCTTTTTACTTCAAACGTGGAATTTAGGATGCTGAAACTGTATCCCCAGTGATTTTTATTAAAAATGTTTCCAATGAACATAAATTATCCTGAGCAAAGGGAAAAATATTAAAACAAGACCTTAAGATAAGGGCTTGGAAATCTAAAGTTTGCTGCTGACGCTGCAGTTTCAAACATTCTGGGCCACAAGTTCAAACTTAAAATGCAGAAACGCATCTCATTAGGATGACTCTGGGCTCCGATCCAAAAGAATCCTGCAGCAACGTTCAAACGCTGATCAGCCGTTGGTCAAACATCCATCAGTCCTCCGGTATCTACCGTCCAAGAGGGCGTCTGGTGACTTTGGCTGGCCGATAAGATGAACCGACTCCGGATGCCAAGCTCTCCTGATGGTCCGATTCTCCTGTGGACAGCAGGGACCCGGCTCCTCCATCTGCTGTCAGGGTGCCACGACCTCTGACATTTGTCACAGCAGCGTTGTAATTAAGCTGATTTTCCTGCAGGCCTCGGCGGGGAGTGACTCAGCAGAAAGCGAGTGTGGCGTAAGACGAGAAATAAAAGGACAAGAGAGCCACAAGGGAAGACAGAGGAGAAAAAAACAGCAGAGGCAGCGAGAGTCCTGAATAACGGGAGAGAAACTGGAGGAGGAGAGAAGCAGAACAGATTAACTTTTTATGTTCCTACAACTTTCTGCCATTTTATCACATTACAGCTGAGATTTAACCAAATCTACAAAGTTCATTTATGTCTTTAGTGACGTAAATTAACTTTGTAGATTTGGCAAAAGAGTGAAAGCAAATAAAATGCAAAAAGTGGGTCAAGCAGCTGCTTGTTATGAGGAACAGGACCCCCTGCTGACCTTTCTACGTTGGTATTAGGGGTTTTGTGCTACACATTGTTTGGCATTAATAGGTTGCTAACGAGCTGTAAGAATTATTTTAAAATAGAAAACCTTCTGCAGACTTATTAGGCCTCCGGGGAAAGGATCCTAGCAAAAACCCAACAGACACAACATTCCCATTTACTGAAGAACTGCTAAAGTAGCTTTTTCTAGAAAACTGTCATAAGACAAAGATGAATAATAGAGAAAAGAAATGTTTGCAGTTATTTGTGTTGGACGAACAAAATCTCCTTAGGATTTTTGATTTAACTTGACTGTTAGTGACTTTTCAGGTCTGACCAGCTGTTAGCTGTTAGCCATTAGCATAACTCTGGTTCACTGTAAATTTGACCCGTTTGATGAACTGCTTTTAGCCAGTTTGACGATGATTAACCACCACCTCCCATTAGCCGTTAGCTTGACTCTAGTTAGTTAGCAGTCATTTTGAGCCAATTAGCTGTTGGCTTAAACCCGAGTTACTGTTCGTCTGACTCTCATTAGCCTTTACCTGGACTCTAAATAGCTGCCATCTGTATGGTTATTAGCCATTAGCTTTGCTCTGACCGTTAGCGTACATCTCTGTTACTGTTAGCGGTTTGCTCGACTCCATGGTGACTAATTTCTGCCTGATTGATGTGATTGTTGTCTACGGTCTGCAGCTCATCTCTTCTCCTTATGATCCAGGTTCCAAACAGCTGAACCATCCGTGTTTAAGAGATGGTTCAGTAAAAACGGGTCAAACGCTCTTTAGATTTCCCTCAAACGAAGGACGGTAAAGATGAAACTGACTTATGTAAGAGTTCAACACACACACAGCTCACTGAGACCAGGCTGAGGTTTCCTCCCCAGCAGGCAAAACAAAAACACTCTTAAAGGTTTGTCTTTGTCTTTGTTTCCTGGAAACATTATAGGAAGCTTTCACATCCTCGTCTCTATGGTAACTGCATCCCCATCTGTCGGTCCCTCACACTTTCATTTCCGCCTTGGTCTCACGTTGTTTTAATTTTAAATTTGACTTCTTTTTTACTGAGAAGCTCAGTTTAGAAACGGAATTTTTTCTGCCATGTATTTCCTACGTCAGAGCAGCTTTGAGCACATCGTCACCATCACCTGCACTCAGGTGTTCAGGCTGTTCGTGTTTGGCGGCTCGTTTGTCTGATGGAAGCAGCTGCTTTAGATCCCAGACACTCACGTTCACACAGATATTTCACACTGGTTGAAATATCTGTGTACAGCTTTTGAATTTTACTACATAAAATTCACTTTACGTACCAATAATTCCCCAAAACAATTAGACTTCATTCGATTGATGCCATAACAGCTCCTGTAAAACCCGGCAGTATAATCTCCCTCCTGCAGAAATCCCAGGATGCACCGACGACTTTCTGATTCATAACTCCTAAAATCCAGCTGGCTTCATTTTTCTCTCATCCCTCCACCAATACATAAATATTTTGTCCTGCTAATTAGCCTCATTACAGTAGTTTATGGCCGGGTCTTGGTGCTGCTGGCGCCATGTGAGGCCTTTATGTGTTTGTTTACCATCGTGTTGGTGTGTGTGAACGGAGCGTGGGCGGCCGATGGCCCACTCTGCTCCTCCATGGCTGCATCCTGAGGCGATGAGAGCGAATAATGTTGTCGCTCTGCAGCTTCCTGCTCCCACAGTGACCAGCTGAGCTGAGCATGAAGAGGCATAAACCAGCTGCCTTACTGGTGCCGTTACGTAACCTTTAGATGTGAATTAAGCAGCTCTACAACTCTGAAAGTGGATTCTGTTTAATTTGTATTTGTTATTCTATTTTTGTTTGTTTGATTTGTTGGTTCATGTGACAGCCAAAATAGTCAACTTCATGATTCTGCTCTACTTTTGGCTTTATCAAACTTTTCTTTACAATATTGCTTTAGTTCATCGAGGTTTGCAGAGATTGTGTTTTCACATTTTATAGTTCGGTTTGTTTGGTTTGATTTGGGACCTGAACTGCAACATTTGTTACATTTTCAGCGGCTTTGTTTCTCTTTCTCACTCCACCGAGTCAAACAAACCTCCTCGCCTGTGGGGGGCGCTGCACCAAGAACCACTAAAGGAAATGATACAGAAACATCTGAAAAAACACTGAGCGCAACTTCCTTCTTCACAAAGTCAGATTTAATCAGTTGTTAGATTTATTTTTTATCTTTGGTAAAAAAAAAATCAAGTGCCATTTCCATTTTACATCCAACACAGAAGCTGTTAGAGTTGCTGATGTTTTTAGCAGCAAGAGGGGCCCCAAGTCAGATTCTGCTCAAGGCCTCATGCAGCCTCGGACCGGCCTGCAGGACGAGTTTAACCCGCTGAACTGCGCAGAAATGCACAATAAACAGGAGGTTTAATTCAATGCTGCTAATGTGGCTTTAGTAGCAGAAGTGATGAAAACAGAGACGCTGCTGCTGCTCAGAGGCGTTTAAAGACCGACGGATTCGACTTGAAATGGATTTTTAGAAACGAAGCAAGAAAAGTAGATAAAACTGAAACTAATGAGTCACTTGGCCTTAAACGAAGGAGGGTTAATTACTCTTTTTATGACTTTAAATGAACAAATTGAGATAAAAGAAGATGTCTTGAAGTAATTAAAGGAAAATCTTCATTTAGAGTCATTAGAGGAACTCAGGATAGCTCTATATGTCAAAAGTTACAAATCTTATAATAATCACAGCTGTATTTGATCTGATGTTTATCAGATCAAACATTTTTATGTTTCTCCTGCATAAATAATCAGACACATCAGCTCATTTTTCCATCAGCAGCTCTCCTCTGCTTTCCGACCATCAGTCCTCAGATCAGCCTGTCGTTGGCTGTAAGACGTTCGCTGGATGAGAATTTTAACTCGCTCTCTGTTTCTCTTTGTCCGTCGTCACAGAAAGTCAGCGAGAAAGTCGGAGGAGCAGAAGGAACCAAGCTGGACGATGACTTCAAGGAAATGGAAAAGGTCATTTATCATTAAACGTCCAATCAGCTGTTTTAATTTTTTTAATGGATGAATTATCATAAGTCTTCTGTATTCTACTAAGATATGACCTTATTCTGCTAACATTGCTTGTTTTATTTAGATTTTTTTGTGTAATATAAAGACTTTATTTTCAAAATGAATGAATAAAAGTTCTTCTGGCCCTATTACTTTGCCATAAGCAGAATAAATCTACTGAAAATTAATAATGTTCACTTAAATTCAGATCTTCAGTTTTATATTAAGGTCCGTCTTTTTATATATATATATATATATATATATATATATATATATATATATATATATATATATATATATATATATATATATATTATATATATATATTATTATTTATATATAATATATATATATATATATATATATATATATATATATATATATATATAGGCTGCCAGTGGTTGGCGCATACTTAAACATGGTTGGTAGTATCGCTTGTATGTAAATTTATGTCTGGGTTTTTGTACTTTTCAGCCTTAAAATGATTTTGGTCCTGTTTAATTTTTTTGTTATGCAAAACCCAATTGTGACCTTCTTCCCCATTGGAGGTTTCATCCCTGGGGTGGTGGGGTAAGGGGTCTCAAAGTGACGGTAACATGGGGTGCCAGACCAGTGGGGCCAACCTGTACACTGACTAAACAATCCCAATAAAGTGCACATGTGTTCCAAAAGATAGCTGACTGGATAGCTCAATACATAAGGCATCAGTATATCACCCGAGAGGGCAGGGTTCGAATCCAGTCTGGGTCCTTAGGCAAGACCCTTCAAGCTACTGCCTACCTCATACCATGAGAGATACTAAGTTGCATAACATGCCGGCTCAGACGTCGCCCGGCCAAACAAGGTCTGCGTCAGGTGTTGGGGAACCAGAGCACCTTGATGACAAATGGGCTACTGGAACAAGACGGAAATGGGCGAGAGATGAAAATGTGGATCTGTTGGAATGCTACTACTCAAGTAACCCTAGTGAGAGAGGTTACATGCAAAGACTGGGGAAGGAATGGTTACTTCGACATCCCCAGTCAACACTAAGCGCTAAACAACTAGTAGCTCAGTGTTCCAACATCCGGAAACGGCAACTGCTATCACAACTTGAGATTGACGAGATACAACACAAATGCTACGGCAAAAGGGAGGAACCCGGATGTCAGGACTGTGGGGACTTAACTACAAGTCCCCACCCAGTGAGGGGATACACGGCCCCAATGAGCGAAACAGAGCTGAACGAGACAGCTGCTGACCTGAGAGAGAGAATCATGACCCGAATGACAACCAGGCCTCCCCGGCGCCAATTACAACGGCTGAGTGAAGTACCATCTGAAAGTCTCATTGAGAATGTGAATGCAGCATTGAGAACGATCCCTACCAACACCATAACAGAAACCAATGAGCTGATCTACAACTCAGCATCAGTGATCCTTGAGATACTTGGCTATAAGAGCAACCATGAGACCCAATACCCACCATGGAAAAGACGGTTAGAGGCTAAAATCAAGGTAACAAGGAGGGAAGTGAGCCAACTGTCAGAGCTCCACAAGGGTGCAATGAAAAGACCAGTACCCAGAAAGTACAGGCAGATGCCCATACCTGAAGCACTCGAGACTGCCAAACAGAGGCTCCAAGCCTTGTCCAGCCGCCTAAAGAGATACACAAGGGAGAATGAATCCAGAAGGATTAACCGGCTCTTCTCCACTCAACCAGCTAAGGTGTACTCTCAATGGCAGGGTAAGAATAACAACAGAGCAGACCCACCAAGGCTGGAGACGGAACAATACTGGAAAGGCATATGGGAAAGGGAGGCGTCCCACAACAGCAATGCACAGTGGCTGATCTCTCTACGAGAGGACCACAGCAACCTCCCTGAGCAAGCCCCGGTAACCATCACTGTGACAGATGTCCAAGAAAGAGTCTCAGGTATGAAAAACTGGACAGCACCAGGGCCTGACATGATTCATGCCTACTGGCTAAAGAAACTCACTGCTCTCCATGAGCGAATGGCAGCCCAAATGAACCAGCTGCTACAAAGTGGGACTCACCCTGAATGGTTAACTGAAGGGCGGACAATCTTGATCCAGAAGGATCCATCAAAGGGTCCAGTCCCACCCAACTACCGACCAATAACCTGCCTCTCCACAACCTGGAAGCTCATGTCAGGCATCATAGCGGCCAAGATAAGCAAACACATGGATAAACACATGAGCACGGCACAGAAGGGTATCGGTGTAAATACCAGAGGAGCCAAACACCAACTCCTCGTAGACCGCACAGTTGCCCGAGACTGCAAAACCCGACACACCAACCTGTGCATGGCTGGATTGATTACAAGAAAGCCTATGACTCAATGCCGCATACTTGGATCATTGAATGCTTAGAGATGTATAACATCAACAGGACTCTGAGAGCCTTCATTGCAAACTCGATGAGGCTGTGGAAAACCACCCTTGAAGCCAACTGCAAACCACTTGCACAAGTGTCCATCAAATGTGGCATATACCAAGGAGATGCTCTGTCCCCGCTACTGTTCTGCATAGGCCTGAACCCCCTCAGCCAAGTTATCAACAAGACTGGCTACGGATACAGACTCAAAAATGGGGCCAATATCAGTCACCTACTCTACATGGATGACATCAAGCTGTACGCCAAGTGTGAGCGAGACATCGACTCACTGATCCACACCACCAGGATCTACAGCACTGACATTGGGATGTCATTCGGACTAGAGAAATGTGGTCGGCTGGTCACAAAGAGGGGGAAGGTCATCCACACAGAAGGGGTCTCACTCCCAGAAGGAACAATAGCAGACATAGAGGACAGTTACAAGTACCTAGGTATACCACAAGCAAATGGCAACCTCGATGAGGTCACAAGGAAAGGAGCCACAGCTAAATACCTCCAACGAATAAGGCAAGTCCTGAGAAGCCAGCTCAATGGCAAGAACAAAATCCGTGCGATAAACAGCTATGCCTTGCCAGTAATCAGATACCCTGCTGGAATAATTAGCTGGCCAAAGGAGGAGATAAAAGCCACAGATATCAAGACCAGAAAGCTACTAACAATGCATGGAGGGTTCCATCCCAAATCCAGCACCCTGAGACTGTACACGAGCCGCAAGGAAGGAGGCAGAGGACTAGTGAGTGTGAGAACCACTGTCCAGGACGAAACAACTAAGATCCATAAATACATCAGGGACAAAGCCTCAACAGACAATGTGCTCAGTGAATGTCTCAGACAACAGGGAACGGAGGTTGAGGTGCCAGAGATACCATCATGGGAGGACAAGCCCCTACATGGGATGTACCACCAGCAAATAACCCAAGTGGCTGATATCAGTAAATCCTACCAATGGCTGGAAAAAGCTGGACTCAAGGACAGCACAGAGGCCCTCATCCTGGCAGCCCAGGAACAGGCCCTAAACACCAGAGCAATAGAGGCCCAGATCTACCACACCAGACAAGACCCAAGGTGTAGGTTGTGCAAGGAGGCCCCTGAGACAGTCCAGCACATCACAGCAGGGTGCAAGATACTGGCAGGAAAGCGTACATGGAGCGACATAACCAAGTGGCAGGCATAGTGTACAGAAACATCTGTGCAGAATATGGACTGGAAACCCCAAGATCAAAGTGGGACACCCCAAAGGTGGTGGAGAACGCCAGAGCTAAGATCCTGTGGGACTTCCAGATCCAGACAGACAAAATGGTAATGGCGAACCAACCAGACATTGTCGTAGTGGATAAACATCAGAGGAAAGCCGTTGTGGTAGATGTAGCAATACCAAGTGATTGCAACATCAGGAAAAAGGAGCACGAGAAACTAGAGAAATACCAGGGCCTCAGGGAGGAACTGGAGAGGGCCTGGAAGGTGAAGACCACAGTGGTGCCTGTGGTCATCGGGGCCCTCGGGGCAGTAACGCCCAAACTGGAGCAGTGGCTACAACAGATCCCAGGAACAACATCAGACATCTCAGTCCAGAAATGTCCTTGGCACAGCCAAGATACTGCGCAGAACCCTCAAGCCCAGGCCTCTGGTAGAGGACCCGAGCTCAGAGGATAAGAACCACCCGCGGTGGGTGAAGGGAATTTAAAATTTTTATTTTATATATAAACTTTCTCTTAAAAAAGTACAAACTTTTTTTTTTACTGGCGTCCACACAAAGTTATTCTAAGGATCACAAAAGGCCCACAGGCCACAACTTGAACACCCTGGTTTATTATCCATGGCGACACCAAAATTAAGTTTATTTTATGTTTTTACGTCTAAAAATAATTTATTTTTGTAATAATTGGTTCTGAATGAACTCGTTTGTTTCTCTTTGTCTCCTGCAGAAGGTGGACATCACCAGCAGAGCGGTGCTGGACATCATGACCAAAACCACAGAGTACCTGCAGCCCAATCCAGGTGTGGTTCACACACACACACACACACACCACACACACACACACACACACACACACACACACACACACACACACACACACACACACACACACGGCTGACAGTCGGGGCCTGTGCTTGCCCGCAGCATCCAGAGCCAAGCTGAGTATGATCAACACCATGTCAAAGATCCGCGGCCAGGAGAAGGGGCCCGGCTACCCGCAGGCCGAGTCCATCCTGGGAGACGCCATGCTGAAGTTTGGCCGGGATCTGGGAGAAGAGTCCTCGGTAAGCAGGAAGCTGTTCCCATCTTCTGAACTGGGAACAGTGATGATTTCCTTCATTACTGGGGAGAAAAACACTGGAATCCCGGCAGGTTTAAGGCATGAAGGTGTTTTTATTTAAACTGAACTGATCCGTCTTGTTCAGAGGAGATGAAAACTTTTGGAGCAGAACTTAAGAACAAAGTTCTGCTCCAAAAACCATAAGACTTCTGGGAAATGTAGTAAATATCAACACAGATAAGTCAATAAATAAACCAGTTTAGTTGATCAGAAGTGCAGATTTTGCACATTTTATTCTTACGTTTGTGTTTCTATGTATCTAAAAGAGACGAAGATTTGAAAAAACTCCCAGCTGATTTTTGTAATGAATTTATGTTTGTTGTGTCTGAAAAATGATCAGCAGGGTGAATCTTTGCTTAAAACATGTTTTCGTTTGGTGGGAAGAAAATCCAGAAATTTTGCTAACGAGTAGAAATACTTCATAAGAAAATTACTGAAGCAAAAGTAAAACGTAGTAAAAATGCTCGTCTTGACGTGACGGTTTGGTTCTGTTCGTCCAGGCCTGGCGCTGATCGACGCCGGCGAGGCCATGAAGGAGCTCGGCGAGGTGAAGGACGCTCTGGACATGGAGGTCAAGCAGAACTTCATCGACCCGCTGCAGAACCTCCACGACAAAGACCTGAAGGAGATCCAGGTGGGCCGACCGCCGGGGAGGCGCCGCCGGCAAAACCGGCTGCGGCTAACGTCTTGTGTCTGATCGCTGCAGCACCATCTGAAGAAAATGGAGGGCCGGCGTCTGGACTTCGACTACAAGAAGAAACGTCAGGGAAAAGTCCAGGACGACGAGATCAAGCAGGCGCTGGAGAAGTTCGACGAGAGCAAAGAGATCGCCGAGCAGAGATGTTCAACCTGCTGGAGAGCGACGTAAGCAACATGGCCGACGCTGCCCTGCTGTAGCCAGGAGACGATTCAATGCAACGATAAATGCAAACGCTGTTAAATAGTTTAATCGTAGTTTAACTGTTTGTACTTATCTGCACTCATTTTAATATTTTATGACTTCTTAGTTTTTATCTTCCTTTCATTCATATTTTATGGTTTAAATTTTAAGCAATTTCTGTTTGAACTTTTATAATCCCATTAAGTCTGACATTTTTCTATGATTTGTTTAAATTTTATATGATTTATTTCATTTTATCTCCAAGTTACTTTATTTATTTCATTGGTTTTCTTTTTTAAATAGATCTTTATTTTCTTTTTTCTCTCCCTACCACAGTGTAATTTAATCTGTATTATTGAGAGAAAAAGAATTTTAAACATTATGTTCCATTAAAAATACATTTATATAATTAACAAATCAGAACAACAAACTGATTAAAAACAAACAAATCTTCTAAAAACAGAAACTTAATCAGTTATTTGAATATTTTTTATTTGTAAACAGTTTCTTCTTCTTCTATCAGTTCCACGTTTTCAGCAACGTCTTTATCAGAGCAGCAGGAAAACAAAAGATGCAGAGCAGAACCAGATTCAGGCCCAGCAGGCAGAACCACAACAACCTGTGTGTGTGTGTGTGTGTGTGTGTGTGTGTGTGTGTGTGTGTGGTGTGTGTGTGGTGTTTGTGTGTGTGCGTGCTCCAGATAGAGCAGGTGAGCCAGCTGGCAGCGCTGGTCCAGGCCCAGTTGGAGTACCACACCCGCTCCTCAGAAATCCTCCAGCAGCTCTCCAGCAAGATGGAGGACAGGTACGGACACAGACACGAGCCAGTGAACGTAGACCAGCGCTTCCACTGAAATGTTTGTGTTTTCTCCAGGATAAAAGAAGTGTCCAGTAAACCCAGGAAGGAGTACACTCCCAAGCCCAAGATGACTCTGGAGCTCCTGCCCCCCAGCGAGAGCCACAACGGGGGGATCCACTCGGCCAAATCCCCCGGGAAATCACCAGGTATTGTAATGACAAGAGTTGTGTAGTAACTAGAGACATTTACTCAATTACATTTACTTGAGTAACTTTTGGGAGTATTTTTACTATGTTTTTTATTATTATTATGAAGTTTTGCTATTTGCTTCTCTTACCCGAGTAGAACTTCAAATATTATGGATTACATGTTTATAAAGTGTTTCTCTGTGTATTTCTGGTTGGTGGAGTTGACTTGGACTGGTCCAGTGACCGGCTTGTGTTTTGTCGTCGTCTCTCAGCGCCGATGGACCAGCCCTGCTGTCGAGCGCTCTACGACTTCGAGCCGGAGAACGAGGGCGAGTTGGGCTTCAAGGAGGGCGACATCATCACTCTGACCAATCAGATCGACGAGAACTGGTACGAGGGCATGATCAACGGCCAGTCGGGCTTCTTCCCCATCAACTACGTGGATATCCTGGTGCCGCTGCCCCACTAGTGTCCGGCCGGCCGCCCGGTCCTTCCCTCTTGACCGATCCGGACACCCGTGAAACAGCCTGTATTTGCAGAAACGACAAACCACGCCCTCGTTCTTCTTCTTCTTCTTCTTCTGTGCTTCTGTGCAATTCTGCTTTCACTACAACGGACCGAACTGAGAGAGGCGCTGGACAACACAGGACTTTCAAAAAGAGGCGATGAGGAGAATATAGAGTAAGCGGCGCGGCGACGGAGGACTGAAAGAGACGAGAAGATGAAGAGATGTTGGTCTGTTAAAGCATGGTGCTTCGCCTGGCAGCAATGGACACCAGCAAGGCTTTGGAGACTTGCAAAACAAGGCACAGTGTATTATGTACGTGCATGTCTGAATGTGTGTTTCAACCTGTCCGTACTCCGTTCTGACGAAGCCAGCACAAATTCCTGCTCATCGGTTTCCAACCTGACAGCTTTTCTTCATCCCTTTGCTTTGACTTCTTCTGCTTTTCTGGAAGTTTTCATTTTTGTTCTCTCCATCTTACTAGCACTGCCTTTTAGCATGGCTCCGTAACCTATAGAGCTACAGCTGTTGTCATTTAACTAACTCTGCCTTTCTCGGAGTCGGCGTAGATTTTCAGTTCAGTGGTTGAATGCATGGACCAGCCACATTGGATCCAGTTCCAGGGTGAATACGAGGTTTAATCCCTTGTTTTGAGTTTTTCTGTCTTGCATGGAAACTTTAGCTGAGTTTTCCATGTCGGATCGGTGAAAGAGAGGAAAACTTGTCGTGATCTACAGTGGCTAAAATAAACTGGTAACCATTTGTAGAAAAAGTTGCACTGAGCTGAAGAGAGGTTTTGTTTTTCTGTCCTTTTAGAATCACATTTGTTGGTTTTAAAGTGTGGAGCTGCTTGCAGATTTGTCCAGTTCCCTGCCTTTGCATGTGAGACTGACTCACTGAAATGTTAACGTTTAATGTTCAGGTCTTTGTTCCAACATGCATTCAGTTCGGATATTGATCACTGCCTCCCCAAAACGACACATAACTGTTGAAGTAGGAAACAAAATAGTTTACAGGAAGCTCTTCGCCTGCAGCAATTACAATTTTCAGCAATTTCACCAACAACCATTTTGCCATCAGTCAGATTTTAACGTAAAATTTTAAATATTAATGTAGCTTCTTAGGAATAATAAAAAACAATTCTGATAATCTTTATCATATAAAAAATGTCACTTGAAGGAGTTTGACTTGGATTTCTGCATTAATGAGATTTATTTGAAGGAACGAACGCTAAAAGTTGGAACTATTTGCAAGATATGGATCACCACATTGTGTTTTAATGTAACAACCAAACTCATTATGCTTTTAACATCATACTTAATTTCCCTTTGGGATCAATCAATAATATTCATCTAAACAAAAATATAGAATTAGTTCTTCAATGGTTTAGAACATCTAAAGGTTATTTTTTAAGAGTCAACACAAACATTAAAACACTAAATGTGCCAATGTCGTTACCGTCTGAAACTCCCTCCAGGTTTCCAGCTGTTTGGGGAAAATCCTAAAACCTCTATGGTGCTCCGAGAATTTGGTTCTGGTTCCAGAATTTAACAGAAAATATAAAATAAATAGTTTAGGATGGTTCATAAAATCAGTTTAATTGTTGGTGGTATTGTCCATACTTGTTCTGGTTGATGTATAATTAGACTGGTACTACAGTTACTTGTTTTAGTTTCTGCATCAGTAGTGCATAAAGGTGTTTGCTACACCTTTAAAATCCAACTTCATCCCTCATGAAAGACATTAAGTTGGTAACTGTTGCATATGGCTCTTCAATGATGCCGTAGGTTATCAAGCAGTTGAGCTATAGTGGTAGTAATAAAAAAAAATACATTCATAAGAGCCTTTAGTTCACTTAAATGCTTCAGTGAAACATCTGAGATGTACGGTTTTTGACTCAGTGCTCGCTACATGTTTTTAACATCCAGAGGTTTAAGATTAGCATGTGTTCCAGAAGCCAGTTGAAATTCATATACTGATGAGGCATAAATGTTTCAAAGATGGTGAAAATTTTTTACATTTCTAGGAGTTTTGCTAGCAAAAAATATAACCAGAGTGCTGAATGTTGTACTTGTGGCTTCCTCTTGTACCATAGTGCTATTTTTAAAAGCTCCAAAATTGCATTAAGGGTTTTTTAATTCCAATGTTTAGCATTAATTTTAAATAGAAAATCTTTTATCCTGGTAATAATTGAATTTAACAGACAATATCAGCAGGAATCTGTGCTAGCAAAGCTAATGCTAACTGTGTAGAGTGGCTAATCACACACAACCGTTAGCATCGTATATTTCTGCTTTAATGACACAGTGTTGAGCAGAGAACTCATCAGTATACACTGGCTAAATACTGAATACCTCATGCGTAGTAAAACGTCTTTGGATTAGACTGTCAGAGGGGCACGATTCATTTATAAGCTCTGCTCGCTTTTGTCACGTTTTATTAGTTAAATTATTTTAAATAGGAAAATAACGTCTGTGGTAACATTTTAGAATACATGGACTTATTTCCATTAGTAAGGATTTCGATACAAGTAAAATATCATGGTTTTTCTATTGACTTTTGTATTGAGTTTCAAAACAGACAAGTGAGTATCCTTCATATACTATCCATCTAAATTCAGTTGAGAAATATCGCAAGTATTACTTCTCTCTAAATTTCCAGTTGTTTTAATGCAGACTATTAATTTTTGTCTTCAGAATGTTGCATTGTTCTTCAGCTTTGTGGTTACTTGACAGAAGCAGCTATACCTCATTAGAGCTTCATCGAATGAATCAAGCCACTGATAAAGGATTCAACATGTCATTCACTATTTTGGCTGGAGAATAGTGAACTTTGAAGCTGTAAAAACAAAAATAGAGTATTTTAGACCTGAATGCTAATATTATGAAACTGCAGTGTCAAAATAACCGCAGAGATCTACTGTCAATAAACAATAAACACCATGGCAATAAATTGTGATGCAACAATAAAATGTAACATTTCAATAAGAATACTATCTATCTATCTACTATCTATCTATCTCTATCTATCTATCTATCTATCTATCTATCTATCTATCTATCTATCTATCTATCTATCTATCTATCTATCTATCTATCTATCTATCTATCTATCTATCTATCTACTCTATCTACTCTATCTACTCTATCTACTCTATCAGCTAGCTAGCGGTCCCTAGCTAACAGTCTGTCTGTTGGCTAGCTAGATTGCATGCTAGTTAGCAATTCCAAGCTAACAGTCCAATGTGACACCAAAATAAGAGTAATGAACTTTCTCTGCCACATTCTAGCTACTCCTTTACTGTTGTAGAAGATGGAGGTTTGGAGCACAATGTATGTTCAGTGTTTTTCTTTTTTACTTTGTTTTTTGTTTTAAAAACCTATTTTTCCATTGTGTCTAAAAATCTGATTTTCAGATTCTGTCTGTGGAAAGTTTATGAGCCGCCCACATGCGACCGAAGCGCTTAATGTGTGCTGTCAAGGATGGCTGTCCAAACACAAATCAGTAGAACTACAATTAGCAATTAGCCTATTTTAAGAAACTGCTATATAATTGCTCTGTGGGCAAGCTTTTAGCCACTTAGGTCTAATCATTCCTATTTAAACTACAAAGTGCTTTATGACTTTTTATTTTCTGTTAATGTCTTAATTTAATTCGGCCCTGCTTTTGTCTGTTTCTGTTTTCCGTCCTTGCAGATTTGCCCTGTATGGCGACATGTATTCTAACCTCAGTGAGGGACTTGTTGTACAGTGTTATTCTCCATGTTCACTATTCACTTGAAGTGAGTGTCAGACCTCGGCGACTTTACTTGCCTCTGCTTAGTTTTCAGCGCAGTGTGGACTGAGGGACAAAACGTAGCACTTAAACCAAACCTGGTTTCATCTCAACATTTCATCGGTTGGAAGCTGCAAGAACACTCATCTGGGATGACCTTCAAACTATTCAGGAAAGGAAAAAAGCTGAGCATTGATATTAAAATGCAATGCTTTTTCAGTTTGAGTTTAAACTGAAACTGGTTTCCAGTAAAAGTCAGATAAGAGTCTCTAATTGTCTGACCAGATTCAGTGCTCGCAATTCCAACCAACAGCAACAAGTTATTTCTCTTGGATTTATCTATGACTGTTTTGAAAATAGATACAGTTTTATGTGTGTGTTTTAGCAATTTTCAACAGTCATAAATGTTGGACGCAGTCCCATCTGTCACCACATGTCATGCATGTGGCGGCCATATTGGATCTAAACAGATGTTGCTCAACCTGTGAACCTGCCCTGCTTTCTGAAAATGTTTGCACTATGATTTCTGAGGCATAATAATTTGACCTTGGTCTGACCTGTGGCTGTGTTACATAATGAAGTACACCTTGTGGCTGTATTAAAAATGAGAAATAAAAAAAACAGCTCTATGCCTGTGGGACCTGCCGTTCTCCGGTGAGCTACTTGTGTGTATGTAAATATATATACACAACTCATTACTATTTATTTAAGTATTGTACATATTCATTTGGTTATTTATTGATTTATTTATTTCAGAGTCCTGTTTATTCGTCAGGCACCTGTGACATTTACTTTGATGGTTGTAATCACTTGGGTTTTGGTGTAGCGGAGAGGAGGAGGTGGTTATTTTCAGGGTCTGTGGGTGGGGTGGAGAAAGAAACCATAGCTGTGATCTAACTGTTGCTCTCCTCGTATTGGACAGTGATATACTCTAAGACCACTGTATGTATAACTGCTTGTTGTGAAGATGATCTACAGTGATATGACAATAAAGAACTAAAAACACAATGAAAATCTGTCTAATGTGTCTAAGGTTTATTTTATATACAGAGTCCTCATTCAAAATCTGAATCAAAGAGAAAAAAGTGTTTGTTGTAGTGTAAAGATTGATGTGTTTTTAATGCTTGCTTTTCAGAACAACTAGCAAAAGCATCTGAACGTCAAAAATGTTACTTCAGGGTTGATTTGCTTTATAGAGTGAATAATGCAAACGATAAAACAACGAGTTAATTGTCACTAGAATGGGTGAAATATGACGGCATGTTAGGATCATTGTAGAAGACCCTGACAATGACCCTGCAGTAACAGCCACTTACTACAGGTGATATTCTAGAATATTACTGAATTATTCTAGAAAAGACAAATTTTAAATTGGAACTTTTCGAACTCAGAAACTGACATGTTTTTTGTTTGTTTTTGTTTTTTTACTGGAAATGTCTTAGATTAATCTCAAACGTTATACGTGTTTTTGTAAAGTTTGAAAGGCGTGAATATTTTCACTGAAATAAATTCCTGTTTGATTTTAATATACAAACATCCACTAGAGACGCTAGAAGTCAATGTTTCCTTCATGTTGCCATTTCCCTCCGTTTTATGCATGTGATATGTTCAGGTGCTTCAAGAAAAGCTTCGAAAAGAATGAAAAGTCATAAAAATTATATTTTAAACTTACGCCTTGAAGCAATATTTGTGCTGTAATTTTCCAAAACATCCCATCAACTAGTCCTCTAACACGAGTTACATGTGCTCATTTTGCTGTTTGTCGTCTAAAATAGCCACATTTCTGTTGGCACTTGAAAGCAATAACGCCTTGACCCACTTTCACACACGCCATGTAAACGTTGTGTTTCGTATCGCTTATGATGCAAAAACAGCGAACTTCCGGAAACTGTGCTTGCTCTTTCAAAATAAATGTAAAACTATAAACATACTTTGTAAATTATTTCATAAATACGAGGATTTTATTTAGTCTCTATATGAAACAAACTGATATATATTATAATTATGAGCTAGAATGTAAAATAAGCTAAGTTAATTGTCAGCGCGTCTCCTGGACCGTCTCTGACTTTTATTGTTGTAGTCTTTGCTGGAAGTTCTTTGTGCTAGCTTTAGCTAACTTCACTCTGTTTCCGCGTGTTGATGCTGAAGCCAGGATCGTGTAGAAACGAGTGTTTTTTGCTTCGCAGAGAGTCAGAAGTAGAGGAAAATGGACATGAAGAAGAGGGTTTCGTTAGAGTTGAGGCACCGGTCTCCAGCGGAGGTGAGAGTCCCGGGTTTTTAACTATTTGACTGCGGTGTGAACTCAACCGGCAGCGGGAGGGGGAGGAGGAGAGGTGGTGG